GTAAATTCCTTCAACCAGCTCAGAGTCTGAAAATGCCTAACATCATTTATTTTTTTCTTAGTACATTCTGGCAGCTGGAAAGGTTAGAAAATTGCACACTTAGTTATAAGTCCTGAGACAGGAAATAACCAGTAGAAATCATTTTCCAGCACACCCATTAAAATGTCTAATACTAGTAATCCTGTTTTGATCAACAAGATGACAGAAAGAAAGGGGAGGTGAACAGGTAAAATTAGATACTGTACAATAAAGGAATATTTTCCCCACAATTTTTGCCTTTTCAGAAGCTAAGGAGGATCAATAAAGTACCAATCAATTCTTATAAGAAAATAAAAGTAAAAAAAAAATTAAAACAGACACTTATTAAAAAAAAAAGGGATAGCACAAATAAGTGAGTAAAGAAAATCTTACTACTAATGCTGATGTTGAAATGATTGGTTAATTATTTGGAAGAAACAGTTGCAAATCAAAATAAATCCCACAGAAAATAAAGAGTTAAAAGTTAAAAAACAAACAAGTACACAGCAAAAAATTACAGAAGATCAAAAGGGCAACATTTACCTAAGGACAAAGTTGAAAAGGCCTGGGAAGGAGGGTGCAATGGAAATAACTCCAGGGAAGAAGTGGGATAACTGGTGTTAAGTACAAGGGACTGCGAGCCTACAAATGAAATAAAGTGTACGATTTGTTGAATGTAAATCTGATGATCTTCTCTGTAAACCTTCACTCAATTCACAACAAAAAGTTTAACAAACATTAAATAAAAATAGACTTGAACTTGAGAGACTCTGGGTGGTGCAAATGGTTAAGATATAAATGGTGCAGAAGGATGAAGGTTTGAATCCCCCCAGAGATTCAAACTGCCTTGGAAGAAAGTCCAGGTGATTATTTAAAAAAAAAATAAATAAATAACAGCTATTTAAAACCCCATGGAATACAGGTCTACTCTGATACACGTTGGTCAGTGAGTTGGGGTCGACTTGACAGCAAATAAAAAATAATTGAATTCTGGGTATAAAAGACTTATTGAACATAAAAGCAATGGAAGCAATCAGAAAGAAAAAAGTGTCTACAACATAAAATATTGTAAAACATCAAAGCCGAATAGTTCCATGAAACCTAACTTAATGGATTAGTCAAGTTCTTCATTGGTTCCCTTGGCCTGCCCCACCATTCCAGTTGACATTGCAACTCTAGCCTTCAAACCCAAATTCATGACCTGTTCTACTTAAGATTTCCCCAGTGTGGCCCTGGGGGATCATGTACTGGACCACAAGGTCGGTTTGATCTGCAAGGTTGGCAGTTCAAATTCACCCAGCCGTTCCTTGGCAGGATCACTATGAGTTGGAACTAACTCGACGACAGCACCTAACGACAGCAACAACAACTCCCTCTTTTTTAATAGCTATTCTATTCTGATGACAGGGCTTTCCCATTTAGTGCCTGTGAGTAATGCTCCTCCTGTTCCTCAGCTCTTGGATCTTTCTAGGAGCTTCTTTTTTATATCTCAAACTCTTGATAACTAGGGAAAGAGGGTGACACAGAGAAAAGAGTTGGAGGAGGTTAATAGGTCTGTCTCTAGGCAGTGGACGGCTGTGCTGCATGCACACTGAGGGGCAGCATTTCAAGAGATGTTTGTTCCCTTCTTCATCTTACTGAAAAACAAAACATCTAATCTATTTTATTCCATACATATGTATTGTTAATTGCTATTGAGTCAGTTCCGACTCAGTGACCCTGTATAGGGTTTCCAAGGAGCAGCTGGTGGGTATGAACTGCCGACCTTGTGGTTCACAGTCCAGAACTGATCCTAAAGCACGACACCAGAGTCAGAACCAACTCCACAGCACTTAAACAACAAAAAGTATATAGATAAAGAAACATATATATATATATACACACGTACAAAGGGGTTTCCAAAATTTCACAGAATAATGCCATTAGCTTTTCATTCCATTTTCCATCAACTTTTCAGAGCCCCTCATATATGTAAAGGAGCTCTGGTAGCATAGTGGTTATGAATCGGGCTGTGAACTGCAAGGTCAGCAGTTCAAAACTACCAGCTGCTCCATGGGAGAAAAATGAGGCTTTCTGCTCCTGTAAAGATTTACAGCCTCAGAAACCCTGTACAGGGTTGCTATGAGTTGGAACCGACTCCACGGTACATAACCACCATATATGTATAGCGACCCTGTATAGGGTTTCCAAGGAACAAGTGGTGGTTTTGAACCACCAATCTTGTGGTCAGCAGTTCAGTGCTTCCCCCACAGCACCATGCTAGGGTTCCATATCTCTCTATATAAAGTAGAAAAGACCTTTCTAAATGAAAACACATATTAAACTCATCTATTAATATCAAATAATCCATGGATTTTAGAAACAGAGTTGTTACTGCTCTAGTTGATGTTGTTGTTAGGCACCGTTGAGCTGGTTCCAACTTATAGTTGGAACTTATAGTTAAGTTCAACTTACAGCTGAACAACAGAATGAAACACTGCCCTGTCCTGTGCCATCCTCACACAATCGTTGTTATGCTTGAGACCACTGCTGCTGCCCCTGTGCCAATTCATCTTGTTGGGATCGATCTTCCTCTTTTTTGCTGACCTTCCACTTTACCAAGCATGATATCCTTCTCCAGGGACTGGTCTTTCTTTTTAATATCTCCCAAGTATGAGAGACAGTCTGCCATTCTGGCTTCTAAGGAACATTCTGGCTATACTTCTTCCAACACAGATTTGTTTGTTCTTCTGGTACTTTCAATATTCTACTCCAAATACTGTAACTCAACTGCATCAATTCTTCTATGGTCTTTCTTATTCATTGTCCGAATTTCACATGCATATGAGACTACTGAAAATATCATGGTTTCGGTCAGACGTACCTTAGTCCTTAAACTGACACCTTTGCTCTTGAACACACTAAGAGGAACAGAGTTATTTAGCAACTCTAAAAAGTCCGATACTACTCTCTGAGGTTACACATAGCACTCACACTAAGAAGACCGAATGTGGGTCCTGATTCTGTCATTTGTCACTCAATAGTTTTATTTTGATCATTTACTCTTTCTAACCCTTATTTCCTCATTTTAGTAAATTGAGAAAATTCAGTCATTTCTGGAATCAGGAAGAGAGTACTTTTTTAAAAAATTACTTGCTGCAGAATGCCTCATCCTCTGAATAAGAATTCCAGAAAATGGGGAAATTTGTAAAAAATCCCTATTTTTAGTTTTCCCTGTGTAATTTGGACCCAGAGCTGCTGAACCACACCTCAGTGGGCTATCACACTTAGCACCCACCTCTCCTTTGCCATTATTTTTGTCTTGTCCTCACTCCTTTCTCTACTGGGGACTTAGACTTGAGGAAACCAGGAGGCCTGGTGGCACTGTGGGCTAAGCACTAGGCTTTAAACCACAAGGTCAATGGTTCAAACTTACCAAGCTTTTTATGGGAGAAAGATAAGGCTGTCTGGTCCTATAAAAATTCATAGTCTCAGAAACCTAAAGGAGCTATTCTACTCTGCCCTACGGGGCAATTCTGAGTCAGAATCGACTTGATGGCAGTGGGTTTGGTTTCTGGGTTTAGACTGGCCTGGTATGCATGGGCAAGCTGCTAGTGGCGGAGGCCAGGGAGGATGAAGATGTGGCCTTATCATGTGCAAGTAATACTCAGATACATTTCTCATGGGACTAGTGTAAGGTGGTGGTGAGGAAAGCACTTACTTAGATACTGGGAAAAGCCAACCACAATGGCCTTGTTGGGAATCTGACCTGTATGATGACAGTATTTCAATAGGAAAAATAAATTGCAATCTTCAAATAAATAACCTATTATTGTATGCTAGGAGCTGCCAGCATGCAAAAACAGGAATCACAATCCAAAGCATCTAGGTCTGGCTTCTGGATTTAATCATTTACAGGTTATCTCTGAAATAACAAGGTTTCTTTGAATCAATCCCACATCACCTTCTTTCAATGACTATCAAGTGTTAGGCGACAAAGAACAATTCTTTAAGGAAGCCATTCTGAATGTGCTAATCAACTTCTATGGATTACTCCTGGGCTTTTAAGCATCGTTATATAAGTGCATATGAAGAGTCAAGGCTAACAGGAACTGACATCAGTAAAATAGCCCTAAATATTTAGTTCTGATCATATGCATTAAAATTTCCTTGTCAAATCAATACGTTTTTAAACTTCTTTCTATCTCCCTCTGACAAAAATCTCAACTGTCCTCAACACGATGGCAACAATTGATTACAAAGCACTTTTATTTTTAAAGCGCTTTCACAGCATTATTTCATCTGTTTCTCATACTAGATTTGGAGCAGGCATATCTGGCATTAGCCCCATTTTATAAATGCCAGCTAAGTCAGCAGTCACTCAGCGAGCAGGCATTGAAAGTGGCTCATTTGTCCAAAGGTGAGAGATAAGAAGCAAGGTGGCCACAGTGGGTCAGACTGCGCAGGGCCTGAGTGGTAAAGTTATGAATTAATTTGGTAGGCAGCAGGAATTTAATCAGGGAATGATAAGCTTTGTATGACAGAAAAAACAGCCAACAAGGAGTAGAATGCAAAAGAGTAAGTGACCTAGAAACAATTAAGTGCTAGTGCTATGCTTTCTGTTTCTCTATCTCCTGAGACAAACTAGCTAATAAGGAGGAATGAATGGACAATTCTCAAGGCTGATCTAAGGTCTGGTTCTTCCACTTACTAATTATGTGACCCCAGGCCAGCATTAGCTTACTTATCTGTACAGAGAAGATGCTGTTCCCTGACAGGCTCCCTGCACAGAACTTTCCAGAGAATCCAATAAATTAGTATTGGGTTGTGCTCTAAGCTAAACAGCAATAGTCAAAGGAAAGGTATAATGATTCGCCTAAGGGCGAAGCCCTCTTAATCATACCTTGAAGCACAGTGAGCTTACAAAACTCTTTCCTTGCCCCATTCTTTATGCCAAGGATATTACAAAATGTATTTTCTTATAGATATGTTTTGGAATATACCTTTGACTGTATTGTCCTCAGATTAACTAGATGAATGTCACAAGGCAAAGATGACAGTAACGGAGAGAATTCACCCAGCAGCTGAGGGGTGGGCGAGGAGACCTTTTCTGTCATTGCAAAGACGGCATGATTCAGGAACAAAGAAGTTAGGTGACTAAGGAGAGATGGGTAACTGACCGACTTCTTTTCTTCTTCCTATTGAGAGAAGATAAAAGCTCTTAAGAGCTACCCTGTATTGTAGTTCTTGCCATATTAATTAAATTACATGAAAAGGTTTTAATATATGAATATTTTGACTGTATTATATTTTATAAATAACTGTCTTAGAAAATACATAGATTATCAAGGTCAGTTCCAAGCAATACAGGAAAAGGAATAGTGCCCATTTTACTCATATGCTAAAAAAAATTTCTATAGATTTAACACAAAGAATACCGACACTTCCCATGATCATTTTAGGATCAGGCATACTTTCTCAATGTACCATGAAACTCCTGAAATAGACGGTTTTGAATATTCAAATGCCTTTTTCATCAGCAAATGATCTCTTTTCCTCAGGTTTTACCCATTATCTTCTCAAGGTCTTATTTATACATTTCAAAAGACCATAAAGGAATGTACTGATTCAGTGTTTCCAAACAACAGCAACTAAATGTTATCTGGGAGCGTGGTTGCTCCATAAGATAAGCACTGGACTGTGAAACATAAGGCCCTCAGCTTGAGTTCACTAGCCACTCTGCTGGAGAAAGCTGAGGCTTTTACTCCTGCAAAGATTCAAAGCCTTGAAAATCCTATGCAGGGTCACTATGAGTCATAACTGACTTGATGGCACTTAACAATAACAATGTAGCCTAATAAAATTTTCTGTTGTGAGTCAATTCTGACTCACAGTGACTCTGTACAGGGTTTTTGAGGAGGAGCTGGTGGGTCTGAACTGCTAACCTGGATGTTCGAAATCCAGTGCTTATCTGAAGTATCACGCCAGGAATCCTAATAATGGGATTTTAAAAAAAGAAAGACAACTCTCAAAAAAAATAGTTTTCAAATACAAGTAATACAGGTGGAATGCCTATATTATCTGATTGTTTTGTTTTAAATTTGATAAATCATTGTCCATTGATTCACTTTACTTTATTCCAAAACAGGAAATAAATATTAGAGAATAGTCACACATATATGGTACAATTATTAAGTAATTGAAAAATGCTTTGTCCTTCACGATGGTATACAATTCTACTTTTAGGATGGTCGAACATTAAATGAGGCCATGTGGGTTAAGTACTTATGTATGCTAGATGACATACAAACCTAATAAAATCAATGGCTACATAGACCCTTACTCCATAACGCCCAAGGAGTAAAAATAGACATAGGGAAGCAATGAGAGGAGAAAATAATTTATGTTGAAAGATCTTTTGATCACTAGCAACATTTGAAGCAAATTTAATGTTGTATCTTGTTACAAAATGATCATTGTACTGATGACTTCTGATTTTGCATCCTTTTTGTAATAGAGAATCAAACAAAAGGCTTGACTACTTATCTATATGAAAAGACCAAATTTATAAAGAAGATACAGAACTCAAAAATTTAGTTGGACAGAAAAGCACTAGCAAAAAATGAGTAGCATCTTGCCAGCAGCCACCCGTAGATTTCATTACAATTCAGACCATGAAGAGATACAAAAAAATTATACGGCAGCAAAGGGACATTGCAATATTAAGATACTGACAAAAAGCATTAGGCCTGAATGATTTGTAAAAAAAAAAGTGCATCCATTCTGCATTCTTTTTAAAGGGAAGATTAAATAAAGCATATACAATAGTATTCTCTAACAATACTGAAATTTAATGCAGCTTGTAAAATAAAAGGAATAAAGCAAGTATATTTTCATCAAGACACTTTTAAATGTACTCCAAGATTAAAGGACTTCATAACGTAGGTCAGAATTGCTGACGAAATCATTTTGAGTAATAAAAGATAAAAGATTCTAACAGAAAGGAAAACACCTGACTTATCAGATTTGGGAGGCTTCAAGTCAATTCTAGGTCAAGAAACATTCAGAAAAGCTCTGTGGCTCTGCTCTGTGCTCTTGGAGGAATTCCTGAGTACTTCAGTGAGACTACGTGGGACACTCCCTGACTGATCATGTGTTCTTCAGAGGCAGCAATGTGTGCATACACCACTCTCCCCAACTCCAGATCAGCTGTGCTTAGCCTTGGTGCTTCTCCATCTTGACCACACTTCAAAATGCCTTGTGGAGCTTTTATAAAACATTATAACTACTAGCCCAAATCTATTGACTCATAGTCTCCAGGCAGAGGGGCCTGAGAATGGGAAGTTTAGATGCTTTCTGGTCAGAATCTCATATAGTGTAAGTTCCCTACTGCTCTGTGCACTTGTTTTGGGAAATGCTACCCCAAACGTCCTCCAAAACAATCTAGAAGGAAGAGAGTGATAAGGGAAGGCAGTGATAAGCAGAGATAAAATAAGGAAAAGAAGCTCATGGACTTGTGACTGGTGCTGTAAGGGAATCAGAAATAAAAAACAACTCTGAAGGTTGGTCAAACCAGGCAAGACAAAGTCTCAACCCAAGGCTACAGCATTCATGCAACTTCTTACCATCTTTCCATGTTTACCAAAATATTTAATCTTTGCGCTTTTAATATTTTGATTAACCTTCTAGAAACATAACTTTCCTATTCTAAGGTTACGTAGTAGTTATGAATCGGGCTGTGAACCTTAAGGTCAGCAGTTTGAAACTACCAGCTGTTCCATGGGAGATTTACAGCTGCTCCCGTAAAGATTTACAGCCTCAGAAACCCTGTACAGGTCGTTATGAGTCGGTTCTGACTCCATGGCACATAACCACCACTACCACTCTAAGGTTGCAAGTAACCCACAGTTTGTAAAACATATTTCCTATAAGAAAAGTGTATGTTTGTTTAAGCTATAAAAGAATTCCCCTGTCTTGCTGTAACTAATACAGTTCGATATACTTGTTTAGTCTCTTTTGTTGGTCAGAAGGTTTCAGACTATGCTAGTCTAGCTTTCTCTCTGCAGCCTGCCTGAAATTAAAAAGAGCATTCAGCACAATGTGACCAAAACCACACGAGATTGAGTGAGATCATATCCAATGGGTTCTAACTCTTATTGCGTTAAGTCACAATTTCAAGCCAATCTCCCTGATGATATTCATTAAGCTCACAGTATTTGGTCCCTGAACATCACAGGCTTCCAATCATTTATATCAATACCCTAATAAACATGTGATGGATTAATTAGACACTGATGACTGAAGACCAGAAGATCTGTGGAATGGCATCAAGATCATATAAGAAGAAAGCAAAAGATCATTTAGAAAAAGAAAAGAAAGAAAGAAAAAAAAGGATGTCATAAGAGACTCTGAAATTCGCTCGTAAGCATAGAGAAGCTAAAACAACTGGAGGAAATGAGGAAGTAAAAGAACTGAACAGAAAGTTTCAAGGAGTTATAAAACCAAAAGGGAAGAAGACTGTTAGCATTTCTAAAACTAGAAGAATTGAAGACAAATTCAAGCCTCCAGTTACAATTTTGAAGGATTCTAGGGGCAAAATGGGGTCTTGGTATGGCACTGTAGGATAAGAAATGGACTCCTGACCTCAAGGTTGGTAGTTCAAACTGACTAACCACTCCTTAAAAACCCTATACAGAGTTGCTGTGAGTCAGAACCAAGTTGAAGGCACTTAATAACATCATCATCATGAGCAAAGTATTGAGTGATGCAGGAAGCATCAAAAGAAGATGGAAAGAATACACAGAATCATTGTATCAAAAAAACTGATCAATGCACAATCATATCAAGAGGTAGCATATGATCAGGAACTGATGGTATTATTGAAGGAAGAAGTCCAAGCTGCACTGAAGGCATTGGTGAAAATCAAAGTTCAAGGGATTGATGGAATACAAACTGAAATATTTTTTTTTTGGTGCTCACTCATCTATGCCAAGATATTTGGAAGATAGCTTCTTGGCCAATTGATTTGAAGAGATCCATATTTATGTTCATTACAAAGAAAGATGAGCTAATAGAATGCAGAAATCATCAAACAATAAATCATTAATATCACATGCAAGTAAAATTCTGCCATAGATAATTCATAAAGAGTTGCTATTTTACATTCACAGGGAGATGTCAGAAATTCAAGCCAGATTAGAAGAGAACATGGAATGAGGGATATCATTGTTGATGTCAGATGGATCATTGCTGAAAGGAGAGAGCACAAGAAAGATGTTTACTTGTGCTTTATTGATTATGCAAAGGCATTTCACTGTATGAATCATAACAAGCTATGGATAACACTGTGAAGAATAGATATTCCAGAACACTTAATTGTGAACATGAGGGACCTGTACATAGACCAAAAGGCAATTGTTTGAAGAGAACAAGGGGATACTGAATAGTTAAAATCAAGAAAGGTGTGTACTGGGTTGTATCCTTTCATCATACTTATTTAATCTGTATATTGAGCAAATAATTCAATAAACTGGGTTATATTAAGAAGAATGTGGCATCAAGATTGGAGGAAGACTCATTAACAATCTGCAATATGCAAATGACACAACCTTGTTTGCTGGAGGCAAAGAGAACTTAAATGTTTACTGATGAAGATCCAAGACTACAGCCTTCAGTATGGATTGCATTTCAATGTAAAGAAAACAAAAACCCTCACATCATGATAAAGGAGTCCTGGTATGCTGTTTTAAGATAAACACCTGACTGCTAACTGCAAGGCTAGCAGTTCAAACCCACCAGCTACTCCTTGGAAGCCCAATACAAGGTCGCTATGAGTCGGAACTAACTTGGTGGCATATAACTCTTAACATATACAAAGTAAAAAAAGATTGACATTGTCAAAGACTTTATTTTTCTTGGAACTACAACCAATATGCATGGAAGTAGCAGTCAAGCAATCAAGGGACATAGTGCATTTTGCGTAGTGCATTACGAGTTGAGCTGCTAACCAGAAGGCCAGCAATTCAAATCTACCAGTGGTTTCATGGGAGGAAGATTAGGCTTTCTGCTCCCGTAGAGATTTACAGCCTTGGAAACCTTATATAGGATCGTTATGAGTCAGAACTGACTCCACAGCACATAACCACTACCACCACCATTGCATTGAACAAGACTGTTGTGTAAGACCTCTTTAAAGTGTTGAAGAGGAAAGATGTCAGGCTGAGAACTAAGGTGTGCCTCACCCAAGCCCCAGTATTTTCAATAGCCTCATATGCATGTGAAAGTTGGACAATGAATAAGGAAGACTGGAGAAGAGTTGATGTATTTGAATTATGGTGTTGGTGAAGAATATTGAAAGTTACATGGAATTCCAGAAGAACAAACCAATCTGTCTTGGAAGAAATACAGCCAGAATACTCCTTAGCCAGGATGGAGAGCTACTGTTGTTAGGAGGGACCAGCCCTTAGATAAGAACATCATGCTTGGTAAAGTAGAGGGTCAATGAAAAAGAGGAAGAATTTAATGAAATGGACTGACACAGTGGCAGCAAAAACAGGCTCAAACACAACAACTGTGATGATGGTGCAGGATTATTCTGTTATGTATGTATCATTCTGTTATGTATGTATCATTCTGTTATGTATGTATCATTCTGTTATGTATGTATTATTCTGTTATGTATGTATCATTCTGTTATGCATAGGGTGGCTATGAGTTGGAAACAATTTGACTGCACGTACCAACTACAACAACCTTCAAAGAAAGTAAGTAAGAAAATGAGGAGATTTCATATAACAAATAATAATGAAAAGAAAAACAGCAACAAAAACTAGATTTGTGGCTATGAAAACAAAGCAAAACCATACCTAGGAAATCGAGCCTCCTCTAGTCATATACCTGCATGGGAAAAAAAAAAACAGCTGGAGGCAAGCTGTGGCTGTTTTTTCCGAGGTGAGGTATATTCACCATAGACCCTCAGGCTATACAGCTTAAGTAGTTGTCCTTATTATCTGGCCAATCTCCCCAACACCATCACTTTCCTTACCCCTTTCAGCATTTGAGTTTTTGATTGGATCTTTCTCAACTCCCTCTCCTCATGTGTATGTAAAGAACTGAGATCCAGAGATAAAATGACAGAATTTTGACACTTGATCTAAACCAAGGGGCTTGTAGTTCATAGTCCCATGATCTTTTAAACTAACCTGACCACCAGTAGGAAGGGGTAAGATCTAAGGAAATGACAATTAAAAAGGGTCAATAACAAAGAGACAGTATCTCTTTCTTGCTTCCTTCAACAGTTATGGGTCAACAAGATTGATGGCAGTCAATGGCTTGCAAGCACAAGTCCCCAACTGGGCATCTCAGTGATTACTGTTACAAGTCCTTTTTCTCACTGCCTCATATGGAGAAAAGGACTCACTTCCATGTAGACACTCAGGATTCTTTCCATGAGGCACTGGCAGGCTCAAAGCTACCCATTCAAAGTTATCACTGCACACACAGGAAGCCTGAAACAAGCCTCATCTTGCCATCTCAGTTTTCACTATCAGTATTATAGAATTCTAAATTGAAAATAAAAACATATGCTAGGAAAATTAAGTTATATGATATATAACACTTCTTAATCAAATGTCTTTTGGATCAATATCACTATAGTTTATAGAGTTTAAGATGTATCTTCTTTTTGTTCTCTCTTTTTTTATTATTAAAAAGAAACTATTGATTTAAGCCCAAGAATCTATAGTTGAATAAAAGAAAATTTAACAAACAATAAAAACATTGGATCAAATTTAAATCAATTGCTATTCAAAGAGCTTTAAATGGGAATAGGCAAATTGTTTCATTTCTAACTGGTGACTTTATAGATTCGACATGAAAATTTTTATTGCTAGAGTTTACAGAAGTTTTATAGATCAGTGTCTATATACAGAAACATTATATAAAGCTAGAAACATTTTCAGGAGAAACAAAAGACAGTAGTTGACAGCTCATAATGATTTTCCTATGCAGCTTCAGCCCTAAAACTAAGCTACCTTGTCAGTAATTGATTTAAACCATGATTCCCAAGAACATGTTTAAATCTTAACATCTAAAAGGGGTATTAAAATGTTTTTACTAAAAGATTCTAGACACTGGAAGAATTCCTTGCTTTAATCAGTTGTTGTCATTTCATTCAGTCAACTAGCATTTTATTAACAGAATACTGCTACCAGCAAGGGGGTCCTGTGGGACACAAAAGAAGTGGACAAGTCCTTGTACTCTAGTAGAGGGAACAGAACATACATATGATTTCCTGAAAGACAGCAGTAAGAAATAAGTATGATGAAGACAGTAGTGCAAAGTGCTTCAAAGGTGGAATCATTTATTCATTTGTGTATTCACAATGAATAAATTGGTACTTCCTCTGTTAGGAACAATCCTAAAAGCAGAGAACAACATGGTCCCAGCATTTTAAATGCCAGCAGGGTCACCCACGGTGGTCAGGTTTCAGCAGAGCTTCCAGGCTAAGGCAGACTAGGAAGAAAGGTCTAGAGATCTTCTTCCGAAAATTAGCTATTGGCTTCCTTACAGACCACAAAAGAATACTGTCTGAATAGTTTGCTTTGGACACGTCAGGAAGGATCAATTACTAGACGAAGACATTCATGTTTGATGAAGCGGAGCACCAATGAGGGTAAAGGAGACCCTCAGTGAGACATAACAGCCTCAGTGATGGATTGTGAGGCTGATGTAGGACCAGGAAACAGTTTGCTCTGTTATACAAGAGGTTGCCATGAATTGGCGTTGACGTGATGGTAGCTAACAACAACGCTCATGGAGTTTTTTGTCCAAGGAGAGAGATACTGAAGAAGTAATCACATGTATGCTATTGTTGCTTTTAAGTGCTGTCGAGTCATTTCTGACCCATAGCGACCCTGTATAGGGTTTCCAAGAAGCAGCTGGTGAGCTTGAACCACCGACCTTGCAGTTCAAATGATATTGCAGTCTGACATATTAGCCCACAGGGCTATACCAATCACATGTGTGCATAAAGAGAAATACATGGTTCTGAGGGTACACAGGAGAAGGGAATTTTACCTGGCCAGGGAAAAGCAGCATGAGCTCCAATCTGAACAACTACTAGGAGTTCACTGGGCAGAGAGAAGAAAAGGACATATTTAGAGATGGTGCGGTGGGAAAGCAAATAGGAAGCAAGCTGGATGGATTGAAATGCAGTGGGCTGAGAGCAGAGAGAATGAGACACTTAAGTGATAAGGCAGGACCTAGCTCATAAGGGGATCTGCAGGCCATGGTAAGGATTTTGGCTTTTATTTGGATAGTACTGAGAAGCCATTAGAAAACTAAAAGGAAGTGGAGGCAATAAAGTTAGATCTTTTTTTGAATAAACAAACTTCTCTGCTTACTTAAGAACAAAAATGCCAGCAAGAGAATGGCAGAGTGTATGCACAGCCTTGGTCTGAGAAACACATGATGTGAATTTAGACTAAGATCATGGAAGGAAAGAAGTCCATAGTTGAGACTCATAAGCAATGATGAGGGAGAAGTTCTTATCAGGGATGATTCCTCGGCATCTGGTTTGGCATGGGATGGATGGTGGTGCTACTCACCGAGTAAGAACATAATAGAAAACGGCCAGGTTGGAAAGGAATAAAGATCAAGATATCTCAGATAAGTTGAAGTTGTGCCCTTGAAAGATATAGACAGACATGTCAGGAAGCAATTGGAAGGTGGGTATGGAGGTTAGAAGTTTCACCAAGTTGGGAATATGTACCACAGGTTGCGACTATGCAGAGGTAGTTACAAAAGCCTTGGAGCAGAAGAGATTGCTGAAGGGGAGTGTAGAAAATGAGAAGAGCTAGAGCTAAGTCTTCAATGGACTCCAATGTTTGAAGAAAAACCTAGTATGGTACTACAGAAGCCCTGGCTAGGCAGTGTTTTAGGGTATCAAATGCTGTTGAAAGATCAAGTAAGATGACTGAAAATGTTCACTGGATCTAGTGATAGAGCCTAAAAGTAGACTGAAATTAATTGAGCTTGAGAGAAAAGTGCTGAAATCAACTCATTTCATAAACTCTTGGCTTTACAGGGTAGTCAAGAAGATAGCAGTGTAAGGGACGGGAATGAAAATCTGAGTGAGGGTGGTTTTTAGTTTCTATTTTTAATAAGCCTGTTTAAATGGAGCCTGTTTAAAAGTCAATAGAAAGGCTCTCTCCTAGGGAAATTGGCTATGAGGGGGCAGGGAGAGAGAAAAGGAAGAAGGATGAATAGTCAAAAGATCTTAAGTGAAAGGGTTAAGATCTAAGGACAAGTGGAGGGGCTGGTCTAAGATGGAAGGAAGATGAATTTCTTCACTGTAACAGCAGGGTAGAAGGGAAGGGTGGAAGTAGTAGGTGGTATCTCAAACACTAGCATTCTGTCTAATGGCTGTTCTATCAAGTGGAGGGTGCGTGGAAGATTTGAAATGGTCAATCTGGAAATAGGGTAAGTGAAATAGAGAGAAACGGGGCACTGTTGAGATCCATCTGGTTATCAGTAATTTGTGGAGGGCTTTAAGGATAACTTTTTGCTGCCCGACTATAAGCAGTCTGTCAGATCCCTTGGGGTCTGGCTGGGCTTTTGCCAGACTGTTTACCATAGAACACTGGGTTTTTGCTTTGAAGAATGAAAAAAAAAAAAAAAAAAAATTAGGAAGACAGGCAAGTAAATTCATTTTCAGTTGAAGAATCTAAAACTGAAATAAGTACATTATAATTTCATATAAATTCTACTAATCAAACTTAGTCTCCTAAGTATATAATTATGCTCTATTCTCTATCTCTAATTTCTTTCAACACGATTTGAAGAAATTTCACCCAAAATAATGTTGGACTTGAAGAAAAAAAACAAAACAAAAACAAGCTACATAATAAGCAAATGTAAAAAAAAAGAAATTATATCAATCTTACAGGACATACACTACTGAGGTTCTGTCTCTGTCAATCGGAGTGAAGGTGGGTTAAATTTATTGCAAAGATTATTTCAAAATCAGAAATCTTATGGGAAACAAGGGTGGTAAACCATGATTTCAAACTTTGGAGGTCAAAGGACAAACAACATAACACACAAGTTAGTGTTTCCTACCATATTAGTGACACTTCTCTTTTCTAGTAGTATTCTAAATAAATTGGCAGTAATCTTGTTATCATGGACACCTTGCCCAAGGCCGCGATTATCATCTTGCATGAGTCTTCGATCCATAATAACTTCAATCTGACCTGAAAAGCAAGCAAGTAAACAAACAGAAATTTGATCACCCAATATTGAGTCAAGCAGTAGACAGGCACATACGGGGGACGACAGCACTTAGTAAGATATGCTCACCATGGACTGGTCAATCATTCAAAATAAAAAGGGCAACATTTATCTAAGGACAAAGTTGAAAAAGGAAGGGGAGGAGGGTAGAGTGGAAATAGGAACCACAGAGATAACTGCAGTTGCATGGAGGAGATTGTAATCATTGAGATGAAACACAATGTATGATTTATTGACTGTAAAAGTGGTGATCTTGTCTGTTCACAATGAAAATCTTTAAAAAAGAGAAAACAAAAGAATTGCCATAAAAAACTACCACTAATAATCTAAACACCACATACCACTTTTCAAACTTGAAACACCTAAAGACTGAGCAGACAGAAGGGTCAACCGATAGTCAGTATCCTGGATGTAAGCCATTGTAGTCATTGGGTAGACATTTGCTTGAAGAGGAAGTTTGCTCATTGTCATTCTAGGTTGAATCTATAAGATCAAAGATTGTCTTTAAAAATAAAAACTAATCTGACATATATACATATATTTAAAAAAAATTAGTATTGAAACAGACAATTTTCCTCCCAAAGAGGAAAAAAAAAATGTAGCTTCCTTTCTTACTCAAGGAAGGGATAATCTAAAAATTAAGAGTCTTCAAAAATTTCAAAGGAAAATTATGAGGGTCTTAGAAAACATTTTTAAGTGAGAAAGGTAAAACTTATCCCAAATTTAAAACCAGGTATTCTTATTTAAATTTAGATTTAAAATGCTTAACAAAAGTCTTCTAGCTCTCCAGTATTTGCATAAAACAAATTATAAAGGTATTAAGTATTCATTTCTCATCTAAATCTAGCACACTGCTTTGGTAATGAATGCTAAGTATAATAGTTCTCTATCCCCTTTCAAGAAATATCTCTTACAGTACTTGAAAGAATCAGCTTTAATATATACCACAAATCTTACCACCGAATTCTCTAGTATTATAATCAAATGCATACTTCTACTTAAAAACTGTTCAATGCTTACCTTTCTTGTTTAGTTTCAGAGTACCGAGTTCTATACTACAACATCTCTATATCTAGTATCTGAATGTGGTGCTGTAGGGTAAGTGCAGGACCGCAAGGTGGGTTTGAACTATGAGGTCAGCAGTTTAACCTCACCAGTCACTCCTTGGAAGCCCTATACAGGGTCCTTAAGTGTCCTAACCAACTCCGTGGCAATTAACAACAAAGTATCTGAATGTACAAAATATAATTCTAAATTCATGTTTAGATTTTGACCTTGCCCCAAAGCCAGCTCAGGTCAAGACAATTTGCTCTAATTCCAGTGGTGGTGGTGGTGGTGGTAGTGTGTTGTGTTAGCTAACTCCAGCAGGAGACTTCAAAAAAAATCCTTGTTATCAAGGAATCTTATTCACACCACTTGGAAATTCAAAGTACTTAAGGGACAATGAGTTTCTTTTAAGGGTGATTTTTAAAAAAGTGTAAATGGATAATAATTGCACAACAGAAACATAATTAATGTCACAGAACTATGCACCTGAAAATTGCTGAAATGGCATCTTTTGTTACAGATACATTTATTTTAAATAAAAGGTCAAGAGAAAAAAAAGTCATTCTTTTTATACTCTCACGGAAGTTTATTTTGAACTCAAAACAAAGAAATACTTAATGATAACATAATGCTAACACTGAGTGTCCATTGTAAGTACAGTACTATAAGTGACAAAGAGCTCTGCTAGCGTAGTAGTTACGACTTGGGCTACTAACCTCAAGGTTGGCAGTTCGAAACTACCAGCCGTTCTGCGGGAGAAAGATGAAACTTTTGCTCCCGTAAAGATTTACAGCTTCGGAAACCCTGTACAGGGTCACTATGAGTTGGAACCGACTCCATGGCACATAACAACAACAACAACAACTATAGTGACAATTCACAAATGCAATTTTTTTCACATCAACTCTACATATAGAAAGTTCTCTGACTTACAGGTCAAGAAATAACTATTTTTTTTTCTCTTAAGCTACCTTAAAATAATTCATTTCATCTTCCTTATCCTGAATTTCTCATACCAATTAACTTCTATCCTGTAAAAGACGTTTAAACTGCCACAATCATCCTGTGGCAGCCTCCCATACCCTCCCATGGTTCTATGTTTCTAGTTTTGTTCAAGTACCACTCTTTATAAAGTTTGAAAAATGGTTTATTTTAAAAGACTTGGTAGACTTAAAAATAATATTTTCCTATTCATTCAAATGCTCATCTATGAAAAAAGAGAATGCACATTTTTCACTATTCATTTTAACTAAGTTTTCATTCATGGATACACCCACACATAAAAATAATTGCTTCTGTAGAATTTTAGAAAAGATTTTCTTTCATATACAAGGAAAATGAATCACCATAAAGTCAGGGTTTCAATTGAAAATGAAACAGCTGTAGTAGATTTAATGTGTTAGTTGAAAATGTGTGCTGTAATTTTTATGCTTTGGAAAAGGTTTAAATTTAACTTTTGGTGAAAATCATAGAAGAGAATAAAGAAATAAAGGCTAGTTTCTTAAAGAAAAATAAACAAAACCGAAAACTAACCCAGAAACCCCTAATTATGCTTCCTTGAAATGAAAAACGTCCTTCATTTTTAGTATCAATGTATTTTACATATATTTGTTGTTGTTAAGTGCTGTTGAGTCGGTTCTGACACATAGTGACCCAGCATAGGGTTTCCAAGGAGTGGATGGTGAGTTTGAACCGCCACCCTTGTGGTTCAAACTGACTTTGTGGTCCAGTGCTTATCCTACAGCATCACACCAAGACTCCTATTACATATATAATGGTCAACATATTGTCTTTTGAAAAACTAAATCCTTATGAATAGATGGTCCACAAGTGATCTACTAAATATCTGTTGTAACTTTGGAAATAATGGTTTAATATAGAATCTACAATTGCCTGTTAACATTAGGTTTTATTTTAGAAATAACTTCCATCCTTAAATAAATTTTTTCCAAGTGCCCAAATTAACTGGTCCATTACCACATAAAAATTATATACTGATACATCTATTATTTAGACAGTTTGAAGGAAAATTACCTGATATCCATTAAGGTCTGTATAAAATCTATTTTGGTTGTTTATATCAGAAGAAATCCTCATGGCAATCTCACGGTTATATTCTTTCCTGATATCCACAATATTGGAAATTTCCACAGACTGTCCTTCTACTCCTAAATTAAAAAAAAACAAAACAAAGAACAAAATAACACATTAAAATCAATTACAACTGCCCCACCAATCTTAAACATACTAAATAAAACTCCTTCCAATATTATGTATATTTTTATGTTTTCTACTTCATATCTTTATCATCTTTCATATATTAAATGTCAAAATCCACCATTTCTCTCTTTTTAAAAGTATAAGATGGTTGCTGTTAGGTGCATCAACTCAGTTCCAACTTACAGTAGCCCTATGATCAATGGAACACTGACAGGTCTTAAATAATCTTCACAATTGTTATGTTTGAGAGTCTACTGTTGCTGTCACTGTGTCAAACCATCACACTGAGGGTCTTCCTCTGTTTTTCTGACCTTCCACTTTACCAAGCATGATGATATCTTTCTCCAGGGATTGGTCCTTCTTGACAACACGTACAAATGATGAACAACAAAAGATGAAGTCTTGCCATCTTTGATTCTATGGAACATTTGGGCTGCATTTCTACTGAGACAATTTGTTATTCTGGCAATCCATGTCACTGTCAATATTTTTTTGCCAATACCATAATTCAAATGTATAGAATCTTCTGCAGTCTTCCTTATTCATTATTCAACTTTAGCATGCACATAAGGAAACTGAAAATAGCATGGCTTGAGTCAGGTGGACCTTAGTACTCAAACTGACATCCTTGCTCTTGAATACTTTATAGAGGTCTTTTGCAGCAAATTTGCCTAGTGCAATACACTGTTTGGTTTCTTGACTACTGCTTCTATAAATATTTACTGTGGATTCAAGCAAAATGAAGTCTTAGATAATTTCAATCTTTTCTTCTTTTATCATGTTATTTATTGCTCCAGTTGTAAGGATTTTCTTTACACTGAAGTGCAAGCCACACTGAAGGCTGTATTCTTTGATTTTTATCAAGGAGTATTTCAATTCCTCTTCCATTTCCAGCAAGCAAAGTTTTGTTATATGCATATCACAGGTTGTTGATGAGTGTTTTTCCAATCCTGATGCCATGTTCTTACATTCTTCACATAATCTAGCTTCTCAAATTATCTGCTTAGCATACAGACTGAATAAGTATGGTGAAATTATACCTGCCTCACACCTTTCCTGATTTTAAACCATTCAGTATCTCCTTGGTTCTATTGGTGCTATGGTAGCCATATTTAGGGGCACATTTAACCAACAGAAGGATGAAGAGGTACAGATGAGATCTGTGAGGAAGAACAATAACATGCAAATACCAATGTGCACTGCAACACTGTTCACAATAGCCAAAAGGTGAAAACAATCAAAATGTCCATTAACAGATGAACGGATAAATAAAATGTAGGATTAGCGATGGGATGTTAACCACAAGGTCTGTGGTTTAAACCCACCAGCTGCTCCTGGGAAACCCTACATAGGATTGCTATGAATCAGAACCCACTCAATGGCACTTAACAACAATGGAAATACTACTCAACCATAAAGATTAGGCCAGCCTGATATATGCCACAAAATGGGTAACCCTTGAAAACTGAAATAAGTTAGCTGCAAAGGAACACATATTATATGATTTCACTTACAAGAATATCTAGAACAGGAAAATATACAAAGACTAAGGTTTATTAGTGATTACCAGGGGTAAGAGGATTAGGGAAAAGGGAGACGTTTACTAAGTGGGCACTAAATTTCTGTTAATGGTGGTGGAATGGTTACACAGTATGAAGAATGTAACAGATGTTACTGAGTTGCATATGTTAAAGATCTTGACTTGGTAAATGTTTTGCTTATATTATATAGATATATAGATATAGTGATACATATTTATATACATATTTCAATATATATATACTGGGTAAATATATACATATATATTTCTTCTCAATAAAACAATAAAAAAAGACAACATAGAGAGAGCAGATGACCATCTAATAAGTTCTGGTGGCGGTGGCTATAGACCACGGAGTCAGTTCTGACTCATAAGATACGGTATATAGGGTTTCCAAGGCAGTAAATCTTTACTGGAGCAGAAAGCTTCATCTTTCTCCATGGAATCTGGAGGGACGTTATTGTTGTTAAGTGCTGTCAAGTCGGTTCTGAATCAGTGACTGTATCGGGTTCCCAAGGAGCAACTTGTATGTTTGAATCACCCATCCTGTGGTTAACAGTTCAGTGCTTATCCTACAGTGTCACACCAGGATCCATCTAGTGGGAAGTTGTTGTTGTTAAGTGCCATCAAGTCAATTCCCATCCATAGTGACCCCGTATAGGGTTTCCAAGGAGCAGCTGGTGAACTTGAACTGCCGACTTTGCAGTTCAAACAGCTTTGCAATCTGGCACATTAACCCACAGCGCCACACCAGGACAACCTAGTGGGGTTGATCTTTTCTCATTTAATATCACCTTTTCCCTAGGAGCTCTAGTAGTGTAGTGGTTACGAATCGGGCTGCTAACCTCAGGGTCAGCAGTTTGAAACTACCAGCTATTCCATGGGAGAAAGATGAGGCTTTCTGCTCCTGTAAAGATTTACAGCCTTGGAAACTCTGTACAGGGTCGCTATGAGTCAGAACTGACTCCACGGCACATAACAACAACAACTTCCCTATCGGGACTGTAAGGTTGGTTTGAACCACAAGGTCGGCAATTCAACCTCACCAGCGGCTCCTCTCCTTGGAAATGCTATACAGGATCGCTATGAGTCGGAACCAACTCGACAGCACATAACAACTGCTCATAAACAATCTATTACACTGGTAACCAGCATATTATTTAAACTAAGAGGGCTACATAAAGAAAAATGAGAAGAAGAAGAGATCAAGGAAGGCTTTCTCTAAGAACTAAGAAGAATCCCCAGAGTTTATAGGAGGTGGCAGAAAACAGTTAGAAAGGAAGTTTGCATCTGTGGGGTATGTGGAAAAGGATACACTACAGCCCTAGTGGGAAGAGGGGACGTTAAATACGAAAAGGTCAACCCCACTAGAGGCCAGCCCATCTCTCATCTGTCCCACCATTCTCTAAAAAGTCATCCTAGCCCACTTCTGTACTGTTCCCCCTTTATATACTATAAATTCTGAACCAGCTAAAATTTGTACTGTGCTATTTCAAAGGATAATGTATTATTACACACAATCTATAGCTAGGAAGAGAAACAAGAGATCTAATGAAATGATTTATGACTGGAATTGGTATTACTGTATTAGTATTTGTGGAGTATAATTTAGAGAGCTCCCAGGTGTTAAATCAATTTTAATTGAGCGTGACATCTCTGAGGATCACTTGTTATGGAGTGATCCATTTTTCCCTTTGCTATATAAAGCAGAGAAGCATTTGACAAAAGTCCCAGAAGTATCAAAGTTTGGGGGGTAAAGCCTAAAGTGCTACTAGTTTCTGTCATTCTACCCTAACAATATCTGCAAGTACTTAGTATTTCAGAGATGGAGGAGTTAGGAAAAAAATCCAACATAAAACAAGTATGTATGAAAGATATCTCAGGGTCTTATAAGAAAGGGAACTGTTTGTAAAATGGTCATCAGAAAGACTGGCCTATTTATTTCATATAGCTGATACTTTTGTAGGTTCCATAAACCCTAGAAACTAGTGTGTGTTTTTGTCTTTTTTTAAACACCTCTACTCCTCATAGGAGTCCTTAAGTGGCACTGTGGGTTAACACAATAGACTGCAATGTCAGTTTGAACCACAATGTTGGCAGTTCAAGTTCACTAGCCACTCCTTGAAACCCTATACAGGGTTGCTCTGAGTCAGGACCTACTCAACGGCACTTAACAACTCCTTATAAGGAGTCCTGGTGTGGTGCTGTGCGTTAATGCACTTGACTTCAAGGTTGGTTTGAACCACAAGGTCAGACGTTCAACCTCACCAGTGGCTCCTCTCTTTGGAAACTCTATACAGGGTCGCTATGAGTCAGAACCAACTCGACAGCACATAACAACAACTGCTCATAAATAATCTATTACACTGGTAACCAGCACATTATTTAAACTAAGAGGGCTACATAAAGAAAAATGAGGAGAAAAAGAAGAGAGCAAGGAAGGCTTTCTCTAAGAACCAAGAAAAATCCCCAGATTTTAAAGAAGGTGACAGAAAATAGAAAGGAAGTTTGCATTTGTGTGGTATGTGAAAAAAGATACACTACAGCCAAAGTAGGCACTGTTGTTGTTGTGAAGTGCTGTCGAGTCAGTTCCAACCCATAGTGACTCTGTATAGGGTTTCCAAGGAGCAGATGGTGAGCTTGAACTGCCGACCTTGCAGTTCAAACAGCTTTGCAGTCTGGTGCGTTAACCCACAGCGCCACACCAGGACTCCAAAGTAATCACTAGACCCTGGGTTAGTTAAACACATTCAGTTGTAAACTAAGAAGTTGGGGGTCTGAGTTCACCCAACTACTTGCAAAAATTATCAATCACTGAAAATCCTATGGAGTTACCATGTGTCAGAATTAACTGGCTAGCAACTAGGGATTTTTGTTGTTTACTCCAGGAATTATATGTTTATGTGAAAAACAGAGTGGAAATGATAAAGTGAAAATGAACATGTATATGGAATTTTAATAGACACGCGTCTACAAATGAACAAAAATCACTCAAAACACAAAAGGTATAGCACTAGGGAGAATAGCAGATGACAAGAAGTAAATTATCGGTTCTACAGGAAGCATTTGCTGGGTTTTTAGCATTGTTTTATTTTATTTTCTCTGCAATGGATATTCTCTCAGGGGTCAACAGAATACATGAAATGGAATAAAGTCTTAACAAGGGAAGGCATCATTAATTTCAATTCTCTATCTCTGGAACCATTTACAAAGAATATGCTTCAGGAAAAAAATGAATAATTTCATATTACCTCTAGCAATAATAAGCTATTTCCGCTGAAAAAATTATCTTTCTTAAGCTCAGTATTATGCTTAGATCCTATTGTGGCAACAAATGCTTGAAGCACTGTAAAGTAGCCGGCATGTCCAATCACAATTGAGCAAGACATTAATTTAAATTCTCTGCTA